TCCCCCTGGAGGCCAGCGTCTGCAGAGGCTCCCTGGCCACTGCCCAGCTCTTCCCTCTCGGTCCTGTCACCCACACGGTGTTCCTGTCAGGGAGGCTGTGGTGCCAGGAGCAGGACCTCGCGTGGGTGGTTTGAAGGCTGAGAACAAGTCTCTCCCTCCAGCGCTGGGCAGGGCTCCATTGTCCTCCAGCCCAGTGCTGCTGCTGGCTCCCCCTCAAGGGCTTCAGAATTTCCCTCTTGTCCAGGTGTCCTGGATGGGGATCAGCCAGCTCCTCCCTCCCCTTCTGGTCTGAGGCCTCCTTCCAACCTCTGCGGAAACCTGGCCCATCCCTCCATGCTCTGGGTCCACGTCCCCCACCTTACAGACGCCTCCAGCCACTTGCAGCTGCACCTGGCCCTTCCCAGGCATTCTGGGTCTCCTCTTCCTTCTTGGCTGCCAGCAGTGAGGCCCTGGTCCTCTCTTAGGGTTCTGGGGCCTCCGCCTGGCCCCTCCCACCGACAGATCAGTCACGCTGCTCACACATGAATTCCTGCTCCTGGTCACTTGGTGACGTCCTTATTTTCTCTAAGGTGTGCGTACACTGATCCCTTGTGCCTCTCTCCACCTTGGCTTTGGGCCTCCGCGGGGTCCAGCTGCCTCTGGTGGCAGCTCTTTCCCTCCATGGCACGCTCCTGCCCTCCCTAGGCGACCCCACCACGCCGTGCCCTTCTGCCCAGCAGTGTTGGGGAGACTGCAGACCAGGCTATGGGTGTCTGAGCTTAGGGGGTGCCCCAGAGCACCAGGGACCACCACCCCTAGTGGTACACACTCAGATGGAAGTCAGCCCCCCAGGTCCCGGCCGCCCACCCTGGGGATTAGAGGGCCTGGCAGGCAAGTCAGCCCCACCTGCTGACCCCCTGGGCATCTGTGTGGTCAGGCTCTTCTCAACTCTGGTGGCCAGGAAGCAGAGAGCACAGCCCCAGGAGCACCAGTCCCTCTTCCCCCAGCGCTTCCCAGGATCTCACTGGGCAGTTCCTGAAACCCACACCTCCCCTCCTGCCCCCAGAGTTTCTCCAGGGTTAGCTGCAGAGAGGTCACGTGGGCTCCCTGGGCAGGAGGAGCCGGCTCCCCACTGGGCAGCCCCTCCAGGGAGCAGGCACGTGCTGGAGTGCTGGACGCAGGGAGAGGGCTGGGCAGGAGCTGGGCAAGACCAGGAAGGCTTGACAGAGCCTTGTTTGGGCTTTGTGGGGTGCACAGGGACTCCAGGGGCTGCCGGTACACAGTGGAAGGAGGAGGGATACAGCAGGCCCTGGGGGCTGGGCTCAGCATGCAGCCAGCTCCCCCCCTTGGGGATGGCAGAGGAAGGCATTATACCTGGTCCTCTGACTGTAGCTGGGACGAGGGGACCTGAGTGGCAACACCAACTGCCAGAGCCGAGGGGGCTGCCCCAGCTCTGTGTTAAGGGGTGCTGTGTCTCCCAAAGGAAGGAGGGCTCCCCCACCGCCTGCCTGACCAGGTCCTTGGACCTCAGGGGACTATTGGACACAGCCCAAGCTGAGGCCAAGCACTTCCTGTGGCCACCCATCAGCAGGGACTGGGCAGGTGGGGCCACGGTTCCTGGGCTCACTCTAAGCACTGCAAGCTGGGCTGCTTAAAGCCACAGCGACGTTTTCTCAGTGTCAGCTGCCAAGAGTCCTAGATCAAAGTGTCGGCAGGGCGGCTCCTCCGGCTCCTCCGGAGGTTCTGAGGAAGACTTGCTGGCCTCCCTCCAGCGTGGCCTGTTCCGGTGCTCCCGGGCTTCCCAACACAGCACCTGACTCCTATGCTGGCACAGGCAGGGCTCCATCTCCACATGGCAGTGTTTTTATAAGGACAGCAGTCATACTGAATCAGGGGCCCTCCCAACTCAATTGTGACCTCATCTCAACTACTCAGGTCTGCAATGACCATATTTCCAAAAATGGCCACATCCTGAGGGGCAGGGGTGATCAGACTTCAACAAATCTTTGAGGAAAATAATCCAACTCATAGTCACTATCTAGATAAAAGTGGGGTCTGTTTAATTTTTCATATTCTGGCCCTATGGGTCCGTGGCCCAGATGGCGTTGTGGCCCCAATCCCGGAGGGATATAGTGATGTCCACATCTCCGCTGCTGACCTGAATGTGTTGGCCTGGGGCCTGTGGCCACTCACTTTAGCTCTTGAGTACAGCAGGTGCACAGGGAGCAGTGGACGTGGGGAGTGACGGGCTTGATCACGCGCATTCCAGGTGGCCCGAGGGCCAGGAGCCCTGACCCACTCCTTTACGTGCTGCGGACAGGGCAGGTCCAGAGGCACTTTCTCCTCTCCCTCCCAATGTGCAGAAAGTGGGGAGATGGTTTTCTTGAGGTGTCCTGGGGCAGCAGGACACCGCACACTCCCTTCTTAGAATCACTTCTGGATGGTTTGGGGAGGCACTGCTGCCTGAGCCAGGAGCAAAGACCTACAGAAGCCCCCCGACAGGAGTTGTCCTGGACACCTTCCTGCCCATTACCAGCAGCAGACCTGGGTGGCGAGCCCAGTGGGTGTCCTACACACACACTCCTGTGCTTCACAAAGCAAAGGCAGGCAGGCGAGTGGCCCAGGTACCTGGGGATGTGCCTTATATGGGAAAAGGGTCTTTGCAGACCCAAGTGGCTGCAAGTAGAGTCTTGGCCTCAAGGTGAGGCCTTTCTGCTTTAGCCAGGTGGGCCTCAGGTGTCGGAGACATGCAGGTGAGAAGAGGGGAACAAGCCAAAGATGCGGGTGGCAGAAGGGGTGCTGGAAGGCAGAGCTGGGCCCCCCTCGCCTCTGGCGCAGTCTGAGGACCTTGGCTCTGGACTTCTGCCTCCAGAGCCGGGAGAGGAAGTGTTTGTTACTTGAGGTGCCGGTGCCGTGGTGATCCCAAAAAACGAGTGGGCTGCTTTCCCACGGAAAAGTAGAGTCTGTAGGGTCTTCTGCCCCCTTTTCCCTTTCTGTCCCCAGAGCCCACAGCTCTCCACAGGGGCCCTTGAGCACCTCCAGGCTTAGCTGCTACCCAGAGTCCTGTCATGTGGGTGGGCCGGCTCCCAGCTGGCCTTGACTCTGTGGGACTGTTGCTGTCTCTTGCCTTTCCCAGCCAGAGGCACGGAGGGTGTGGTGTCACGGGGTCCCTGAGCTGTTGGGTCCAAATGCTGATGAACAAAAGGCACTCGGATTTCCACTGTTGCTGCCAAGTGATCTGTGGGGTCGCCCCTCTCACAGGTCCCCTTCTTCTGCCAGGTGTGAGTGGGGGTGGAGCCCAGCAGACTCCCTAAGACTATGGAGACGGAAGTTGGGCTACGGAGGGCAGATCAGAAACATGGATGGGGCTTGGCTTGGTGACTGAGGAGCAGATTCCATCTTCAAGTGATCCTGTGGATGTCACGTTCCAGGACTAAAACACTCAGGGTCACGCCAGGGGAACTGGGCTGCACGGAATGACCACACAAGAGACAGAGAGACCTTTTTCTTTGGGTCCTGTGATGGCTCCTCTGACCTTAGGGGTCCATGAAAAGAGTGAGGAGCCCGTGCTGAACCCTTTTATTGGGGAGAAGCCATTCTAATGAGGCCAGGGGTCAGGTGTCAGGGGGTTGAGTCCAGCTTCCTGATGTCTGCTGTCAGCAGGTCGACTGACATCTAGGAAGGCCACACCCAAAGGCAGAGCAAGAGAAGGGGACACACAGAGGGCATTTCCATGGAACATTCTATCCCAAACAGGGCAAAGGGGTAGGATCACAAAGGAACAGATGAGTGTGGCTCAACCCCAGGGGTCGTCGCCCACTCAGAAGACTGGCCTTGCTATCCAAGGGTGGGCAAAAGACGAGTCATGGCACGACCACGCTAGACTACAGTGATCTTTCAGATCCCTGGTGCATCAGGACTGGAAGGTGTGAAACCTCAATGTGGCTCCCCACATGTGGATTCACTGGAGGGGACACTACACAGGCCTGGGAGGTGAGTGTGGTGGTGGCTTGGAGGGCCCTTAGATTGGGTCTTCTGAGCAGCTCTGCCTGGCCTGGCTGCTCTGGTGGCGCTCCTGTGTCCTGGACACACACCCGTCAGAGAATCCCAGCACACCCTCTCCTGCAAGTGACCAGTCCTCTGAGAAGCAGCCTGAGGCCTGCTCCTTAGCCCTGGTGGAGATGAGCCATGTAGCCAGGAAGCAGAGACAGGTGTCCCAGTTGCCCATGATAAACAGGGAGCTACCATAAAACTGGGCAGGGCAGCAGCACTCTGGGTACAGGAAAGCAGCCCAGCACCAGTGTGTTCTGAGGAGCTGGCTGTCTGCAGAGTCAGGTGTTGCCTCCTGTGTCCCTGCATCTGCCTCCTGCCAGCTGGACAGCCCTCCCGGAGCCTGAGGCTCACACCCACTGCCAGGTGACAGAGATGGGTCCTCAAGCTGCCAATGGCTTTGCCCAGTGCATTGGACCCAGCTGGGAGGACAGCCCCGTAGTCCCACCAGGGATGGCAGGGAGATGCGCCAGCTGGCAGCATTTGAAGCCATGTGCCTGGCCACTCATAGCCCCTGAGGAAGGATCACAGGCCCCAGCTAGTGCTTGTGGTGGCCAGAGACTCAGAATAGGTACACAGGGGGCCTGGCAGGGCACGGGGATGAGAGGGTGGGGTACCCATGGTGTGAGAGGCTCTGAGGTTGGGACAGTGACACCTTTGCATGTCAGATGTCACCCAGGGCTGCTCCATAAGGTCACCAAGCAGGTGGCTCTGGTGGCTAGGACTGAGGCCCCGCTTGGACTCAAGCATGGAGATTCTTACCAAGGCCAGCCAGCTCTGGCCACTTCTGAGTGCCCCATCTTTCCTAGGAGAAACCAACAATGAGCCTGATAAAGCCCAGTGCCCAGGCAAGCTGTGCCCTGACAGACCTGCAGAGGAGGCTGCATGGGGCTCTGGAGCAGGGCTGCCCTGGGAGCTGGCCTCTTCCTGCAGGGCTCCCGGCCAGGGGTTTCAGTCCTAGACCGTCTCCGGACCCCACCATGAGCTCCCTCCCAGTTGGCCTGCCTTTGAGCCAGCCTCAGAGGGGCCAGGTAGGTCTACACTGCTCTTCTCCAGTTGTGGGAGGGTCTGCCTGAGTCCAGAATCCCCAGTTCACGGGTGCACACTGGCAGGATCAGCCATGAAACTGTGCTCGGCCTTGCTTGTCCAGCCTGGAGCCCACCCTCCTGCCAGGTAAGTTTGTGTGAATTCATTTGAAGACGCATCAGATCCCCTGGTGTGGAAGCGCCTCGACTCCTCTGGTCTGGCTCCGAGCTCTGTCATTGGAAGCATTAGTGGGGACAGATGACAGATGACGGGAGGAGGGTGTGAGGCCCCTGGACAGTTCAGAACTGCCAGTAGCTCTGCCAGCCTGGGAAGGAGGGGGATGGTGGAAGAGGGTCCTGAGCCTCAGACCTCCCACCAGCCCCTGTGCCTGGGAGCCCATGTGATGGGAGCTTGGTGTCAGAGCTGTCATCCCTGAAGGGTCAGGCCACCACAGGGTTTGCCTCCCTCATAATTTTCCTAGCCCCAGGTATTAGCCCAACACTCTGGCCAAGGGTCTGTGTACTTGCACTGACCGCTCCCTGGCTAGGGTCTGTCTGGCCAGGTCAGTAGCAGCCTCCAGCTCTGATCCTCAGATTCCTCATGTCTTCCTGGGGCTCATTGCAGACGCTGGAGCTCAGCCTTCAGACGTCGAGGCTGGGTACTCTGTGTGGGAAAGTGGGAAAACTGTCACTCACTCCTGGGAGGGGCTTCTGCCTTCTGCCTGTCTGTCTCACTCCTCCCTGGTCCTGGGCAGCAGGTGGTCCCCCTCCAAGCTGCCTTCACCTGCCCCAGCCAGCGTCTCCCAGAGGACCCCCCATGGCAGGGCTGGCTGCTTCCCTCTGGGGTGCTCATTGGGACTCTGGTTATAAGAAACGGAAACTCCAGCTGAAGATGGTTTGTTGGAAGCAGCGTGGGAGGCTGCTGGACCGCCAGGGCCTGGGGGAGCAGTCCAGGAAAGGTGCAGTCCCAGGGGTCCCAAAGGTGAGAGGCAGGAGGCAGAGCTGCCGACAGGGGCAGGGCGGGGTGGACCTCCATGCAGCCATGGCCATGGTCAGCCTCATGCTTACCCATCCTGGACCACAGCCTCCAGAGTTAGGGTCCTTCCTGGACTGGGCTTGGGGGAAAGCCAGGGATAGGGGAGCTGAGAACCCCTGGGAAGCAGAGTCCAGGCCAAGCGTCCAGAGGCAGGCCCTGCTCCGGGAGGTGTGATGCTCAGAATCCCCACTTGAAGCTGTCTCAGGTCATTTTGTCCATTTCACCTGGATTGGATTCATTGATTAATTCAGCATTAATCGTGCGCCTCCTGTGTGCTGGCTCTGTCTGGGTGGGGTTTCTGTAGCAGGGAGGTCTGCTGCAGTCCAGGTGCTGCCAACGAGGTGGTGAGCCAGTTCTGCACAGCTGGTGCTCCCTGAGTGGCCCGCCTGGGGAGACGTGGGCCTTGGGCAGGACTCCCCAGAAGTAGACGCCAAAGCAAGGGTTTGGGTAAAAGCAAATAAGAAGTGAAATCAGAAAAGAGTATAGAAGGGGTATGGAAGGCCGCTGGGAAGGTCACCTTGAAGCAACCCTACAGGACTCATCAGTCACCAATTACTGGCTGCCCCAGGGGAACCTACATTTTCAGAACCTTCGTCTGTCTGTGCTCGCAGGCCCAGCAGTGTTTTCCTGAGCAGGTGTCCAGAGGCACCTGGGGCCAGGGCGAAGGAGGGCTGGCTCTGGGCTGCAGCAATGCTCCCAGGGCCTCTTGCTGCTCTATTAGCTTCACACCTCAGCTGACTTTCAGGATTGTGACTGCCACAATTTCTTGGTGGTTCCAGAGACTTGGGAGGCAGGAGGACAAAAAGTTCAAGGTCAAACTGGGCAACTGTAGTGAGACTCTGTCTCAAAATTTCAAAAAGGTCTGGGGTATAGTTCAGTGGTTAAACACTGAGTTAACCTCAGTACTAGGAAAAAAAAGTATAAGAGACTCTCAAGGGGAGGGTTGGTCAGGAGAGCCACCATCCCCTGCTGTGGATGGTATAAACGCGGCAACTACAAAATGGCCACCTGCTCCACCCCGGACTCTTGTCTTCTTCCTCTTGGCCAGCACATCTGCTGGTCCTAGGCCCTGCCAGGAAGGGCGAGCTCTGGACCATCTGAGACCCCGGTTACCTACCCTGTTTGGCCCTCTCTGGGAGCCATGTGCATCGGGTGCTGTTGGCACCACCCTGGCCCCAGGGAGGAGCCTGGCAGTGAACCAGGCCACAGGAGGGCAGGTACCTGTGCCCTGGCTGGCTCCTGGTGTGCAGCCCCTGCTGGGCTCAGGACAAGGGAGATGTGTCCCCTTTTAGCTCTGGGGGCCAGAGTCTGACTGGGAGGCATGGATGAGGAGTGTCCCCCAACCTCTGACTCCAGGTAGGACCCTTCTCTCCTCCAGCTACCCTTTGGTAGCAGCTGTCAAAGCCCAGCCACAGCTACAGCCCTCCAGCCTCTGCCCCTGGGTCACACACTGCTCCCTCTGTCTGCTTCACGTGGTACGCTCTCAGTGCCAGTCACGTTGAATTAGGGCCACCCTAATGACCTCATCCTAACTTGATGACATCTGCCAAACCCCCCCATTTCCAAATAAGGTCTTGGAATTAGGGCTGAGTGTTTGTGTGTGTGTGTGTGTGTGTGTGTGTGTGTGTGTGTGTGAGAGCGCGCGTTGTGATGTCAAGCCCAGGGCCTGGAATGTGCTGTTGGATTAGGACTTGGATGTAGCTTTGGGGGAATGGAATTCTACTCATAGAGCAGGTGACATGACCAGAGCCACTGAGAGCCAGTGTGGTTTCTCTAGAACTTCTGAAAGAGGCTAGTGGGCGCCTGGCAGCACCTGGGCCTGTGGGTCCCCAGGGACCCAGCTCTCCAGAGCTGAGCCCAGCCCCAGGCCCTGGCGTGCCCCTGGCCTCCCCCAGCTCCAACACTGCCCGTCGGGAGCTGCTGCTTTGCTTGTATTTTCCAACCCAGGTTGAGTCGGATTTCTGGTTACCCGTACCTCCGGCTGCACCCCATTCCCTGCTCAGGGAGGGGATCAGGAGCCTCCACCACTTGTGACAGGTGCAGGTCCCTTGGACTCAGGTCCCCAAACTCTGGGCTTTTCTACCACGAAGATGCATGTGCTGCTAAGGGAGGGAGCCCACTGCTGCCTTGTTTTTCCTTCCTGTTAAATCTTTGTATCTTTCAAAGAAAAGCCACTTTCCCTCGAGGTCCACCCCCTGCCAGTGAATGCCTGTGCCTGAGCCAGCTCTCAGGGACCTCCTGAGCCGGCCCTTCCTCCCAGAGGCTCAGAGATCCTGAGACAACCCTCACGAGGGAGCTGTGCCCCTCCGCCCAGCCCCAGGCTCCTGTCCGTCAGGCCACCTCAGCAATCACTGCTGCCTCCAACACCACGTCAGTGTGACCTGCTGGCCCATCCCGTCCACCCTGGCTCTGGCCAGCTGACCCCCAGCCGCTGTCAGGCTTGCCATGGCCTGTCTGCCTGTGAGGTCTGCTCTAACAGGAGTGGGCCTGGGCCTGTCTGCAGACCTGGTACCACCTGTGCTCCTCTGGCTACACCCCCCTCAGCCCCGTCTGCACCTCCCCTGGCAGGCAGCCAGTCGCCCCAGGCATCCGTGAGCAGCGCACACAGCCCCTTGCCCAGGTACATCAGGGCCGTGTGGAGGGTGCTGGGTCATGTGGGGCTCTGGACCTGGTGTCCCGGGTGTCAGTGCGAGGGGAAAACATGGAGGAGTTCCAGGGATTGGTGGCCTCAAGCAGCTTCTGTATGTGGGCAGCCTGGGGCCAGGGCTCTTCCTCCTGGTCACTTAGCCATCTACCTGCCGTGGTGCAGAAGCTCCTGTGGGAAGGGGACAGATGACCAGCTGCGCTGACAGGAGCTGTGAGAGCTGACAGGCAGTAGGGTGGGAGCAAAGGGGCTAGACGGTCCTGCTAGGTAGCTGTTGCTGCCCTGGTCCAGGAGGACTGGGCTCAGTCTAGGACTCTGGCCTGCTCTGATGGGAGAGCAGGTGGCCACCCTGAGTTTTCCCCAGAGCCTCCTGGGGCCTGGCCTCCACTTCTCAGTAACAGCCCTGGCCTCCACTTCTCAGTAACAGCCCTGGCCTCCACTTCTCAGTAACCCCCGGGTCTGGCCCTGCCTGGGGGGAGGTCAGCCAGGAGCTGGGCCTTAGGGTGGGTGCTGCTCTCACTCTTCCTCCTGGGAGGCCTGGGGACAGTGGGAGAAGGGCAAGGGGCACTCCAGCCTGAATGTCTCACCTGAGCAAAGACGCTGAGGCCCAGCAGGGTACTCCCTGCCTCCATGTGGACAACTGGCAGCTGGGTGGACACTCTGGAATGAGATCTGGGTGCCAGGAGTGGGCAGGCCTGTGCTGGAACACAGCCTTCATCCCACTGGGCCTCTCTGTGGGGACCCACACCTCAGCACTCCCCAGGCCTGGGGTGGGGGCTGAGAACAGGAGTGGGCAGGACAGGGTGGGCCGTCCTAGGGTGTGGGACCGACCAGCCCTCCTGGGAGAGGCGTCCACCACCCATCCACCCACAGCGTGTCTGCAGCCTGCCCTGGCCTGTCTGCCTGCCCACCTCGCCCAACATTTTCCAATGGAAAGTTCCCAGGGCAACAGCAGCACAAAACATGACGAAGAGACTGGGCAGGGTGGCGCTGGGGGTCACAGGCTGGGGGCCAGCAGGGCTGGCTTCAGGCTCCAGGGACTCCCAGAGCACCACTGTCAGCAGCTGAGGGGCCAGTCCACACCTCAGGCTGCCCATCCCTGTCTCACCAGACAAGGATGGCTGCCTGGAGGGTCTGCTGTGGTGGACACAGGAGGCCTTGGGTTTATCTGCTGAGCAGTGTCTACTGGGTAGAGAATGGATGGGTGGAACGATGGTTGAATGGGGATGGGGGTGGGTGAGCCCACAGAACACACCTGCACCTCCAGGGACCCAGGAACATCCAGGCCCTACTGTGAAATCGTCTGCCCCCTTGTCCTGCAGGCCTGGGAGGAGGGGCTTCCTGGCTGGAGGAGGAGGGGCTTCCAGGCTGGAGGAGGAGGGGGCTCATGCCAGGCCTGGGTGGGAGAAGGTACAGCCAGGGTGGAGGCTCCTGAAAGCAAGCTGACCAGTCTGGGTGTGGAGAAGTCTTGAGGGGGGTTTCTAATCCCTAAACGTGGGTTGGGGGGTAAAGGGTAGAGGGTATGAAAGGCCAGGTGGGTGCAAAAGCAGTTGCTGCCCAGGGTCCCCGGGGTCTCCATCGATGTGGAGAAACCACCCTTCCTCCAACCCCAGCCAGCCCCAGGGCAGCCCTGGTACCCATTACCCAGCAGCCCCTTTCTCCTTGGCCCTCTATTCAAAGGTGATCTCAGCCCGCTGCCCTGTGGGTGGCCTGGGTAGGGCCTGGGTAGGGAGGGCATGAGATCCCTGTTCAGAGAACCCAGCGGAGGGGCTAGAAGCTCCAGGCCGGGGCCTGCAGGCCAGTGGAGGGACTGGAGGCTGGTGTAGGGCCACCAACCTCCACAGTGGGGGGGTTGCTGTGGCCTGCGCTGAGTACCCGGCAAGGGAAGCTGGATGGAGGCTGGCCAATCTGCTGGGGGAGTAGACCTCCTCCCAGCCAATCAGACCAGCCAGCTCAGGGTTCATGTTTTGGGACCCAAAGGAAAACCTCCCCCAGCCTTTCCTGATACACACCATGCCTCCTGTACCCACATCTGTGCTGTGGCCGTGTCCCAGGCCCTGAGTCCAAGGGCACCCCCATTGCTCTCATCCCTGCCCTGGCCCCTAAGTTCCCCTCCAATGCTATGCCTCTCCCTGGCATAGAGGATGAGGCTTGGCTGGCCGGGCAGCTGGGGTGGCTCCAGGAGCAGGTGAGGCAGATTCTGCCCAGCACTGCCTATGCTCATGGAAGCTGCTGTGTGCTCTGAGGACAGCTTGTGTGCGGGCTCAGCTCTGTCTGCAGGGTGCAGCTTCTGAGCACCCAGGGCCCAAGGAGCAGGAGCAGGGATTTGTGTGCCACCTGGCTTGCTTCAGGCCTCTACCCAGTCCCATGCCTCTAAAGAGGTTGCAGCCTCAGCCCCAAGGAGGAGGGGTGGTTGGGAGTGTGCAACCTCTGGCTGTCTTGGGATTCCTGGGGCGATGCTGGGTTTCTCTTCTAGTCAGTGTCCAACTAGCCAGCCTGCAGAGTGCTCGAGTGGCTGGTATGGTAGGCAGAGGACCTGACCAGGGGGCAGCACCCACAGTGCCTGACCAGGTACTCTAGGGCCTCCAGGGTCCATGGCAGAGATGAAGTACAGCCAGGTGAAAGGTGACGGGGCAGGGGGAAAGTGGGGGTGGTGCACAGGAAGCTGGGGCCAAGTGTGGTGAGGGGTGCTGGTCAGAGTCTCAGGAGCAGGATTCTGGGCTAAAGGCCACATGGGGGCCAGCCCAGCAGGTCTGGTGTGACTTGGTAGAGCAGGCCATGATAGAGGGCCTGCAGCCCAGAGCAGCCAGGACCCTGCAGGTGCCTTGGGAACTGGGGGAATGGAGGATGTCATCCCAGAGTCCCTTGGGAGGAAAGGGGCAGCCACAGAGAGGCTGGACAACCTGGGAGTTCTGAGGCTGAGCTGCTATCCTCTGGTGGGAGGGGCCAAGCTAGAGGACACCTGCCCTCTTGGAAGGTGAAAGGGGTATGGCAGGGCAAGGGAAAGCAGGGGCAGCAGGGAAACCTGGAGGAGCTTCCAGAGGGGACTTCATGGCCTGGCTCTCCTCCATTCAATAGCCTAAAGTCCCCTAAGACATGGCTACTCTGCTCTCCCACTGGGTCCATCCTGGAGGTTCAGGCAGACCCCGACTGCCAGGCCAGGGCTGCTCCTCTTGGGGACAGCTGCGGGGCCTCTAGTCTGTCTGGGGTGGGGTTGAGAAGGTTGAGGTATCTGGCACACCTTCCACATTCCCTAGCAAGAGAGTTCCCCATTAAGGCCAGTGTTACCTTGAGTGAGTGAATCCCACTCATGCAGCAGTTAGAAAGAAAATACATCCTTGGAGCAAGATGGGGGAAATTCACTTCTGAGGTACAGGTTGGGCTTTCCCTGCAGCGTTTTGTGCAACCTCCAGTTGAGGGTGGGCTCTGAACCAGCTCAGTCCCTGTTGCATTGGGCTGGCGGGAGGCAGTTGGACAGGAAGCAGAGCAGGGGACACTAAGGCGACTGAGCAAGACCCAGCAGAAATGAACTGGAGGGGGAAGGGGCCACGGAGGACAGCGACGCGCCCGCTCCCCGCACGGCCTTCCAGCCCCTCTCACTCCTGCGTAACGTAGCAGGGCAATGAGCCGCAGGGGAACCGAAACCTGCGCTGCGGCCACCCGCATTTCCCTTGCAAACTCCATTCAAAAGCCCTGGTCGGGAGGGTGCAGGTCGCTCTCCACCCCAGCCCGCGCGCAGGCACCGCATTCCTTCGCAGTGACTTGCGATGGGGAGGGGCCAGGGGAGGGTCCCTACTGCTCGGCAGCCCCTCCTCGCCTAGGGGTGTTCGCAGCCCTGCCCGGGCACAGGTTCCCGACACTCGTCGGCCCCACCTACCTGCCGGCCCCCGCGGCGCTGCCCCACCTCCCGCCCCGACCGAGGGCCGGGCAGCCACTGGGAGGAGTCGCTGCACCGCGCAGGTTTTTAAATGCGCAGGGCGCGGGGCGCGGAGCTATCGGAGGGACTGCGGTTCCAGCGCCGGAGCGGAGCAGACTGACAGGTGGGGACTAGCGAAACCGAAACACCTGCGTGCCCGCAGGAACTCGAGGCCTGGAGGCCCAGAGCGCTGGCACACAGCACGGGGACTGGCGCAACTGGCCCGGAGTTCTGGGCTCTGGCCCTCCAGTTTCCAGCCCTGGGCAGGCAGAATTCTGGGTCCGAAGTGGGGGTCCCTGAGCCCCCCTGCAGAGATGGGGACCCCGAGGCCCCAGTTCGAGCATGCCACAGGGAAGGAGTCTCCCTGCCCAGCGGTTCTGGGCAGTCACTGAAGGTCAGGTTCCCGAGCCCTCCTTTTTTTTTTTTTTTTTTTTAATATTTATTTTCTAGTTTTCGGCGGACACAACATCTTTGTTTGTATGTGGTGCTGAGGATCGAACCTGAGCCCCTCGCATGCCAGACGAGCGCGCTACCGCTTGAGCCACATCCCCGGCCCCCCAAGCCCTCCTTGCGGGAGGTGTCAGCAGCAGAGCAGGCCTAGACCCACGGGCACCAGGCCATCAGGCTGGATGCTTTGAGGCGGAGCTGGCTCCTACATCTGCTGGGGTGAGACAGGTGGGGCTGACTCACTGAAAGGCCAACTGCTGACCAGGTTTAGCTGTCCAGAGATGGTCACTCTGGTGATACCAGGCAGAGGCAGGAAGGGCCTTGCCTCCCCACCTCCACCTGCCCATCATGCCCAGCTCTTATCAGGGCCATTGATTTCTGTCTGTCTTGACAGGGTGCTGACTGGCAGTGACCTCCTATCAGCCCCACAATAGGGAAAAGGCCAGACTCTCTGCCTCCACGTGTGGGCTGAGTCCTTCTTTTGTTCTGACCTGGCTCAAGGGGACACCCTTGTCTTGGGCTGGAGTGGGGGTTCCTACTCTTCAGTGTGAGACAGATGGTGGCCCTTCTTAGGAACAGCCCTTCCCTCCCCTTGGTGCTGGGTTGCCTGGGGGGAGGATTTGCTCCACCTCCACCACCTCTCCCGCCACCTTCCCTGCCCCAAAGACCACTGGCTTTTCGCCTCCTAACAGCTTGCTCATACTGGTGCCCTACTCTGGAAGGCTGGCACTTTGCTTTCCCAGCGCTGGGCTTGCCTGGGCCTCCTCCAGGACCCCTGGGGCGCCCTAGTCTGTTTCTCTCCCACGTTCCAGAGTTCCAGACCTCTGCTCTGCCCCTCCCAGGCACCCACTTCTGTGCCTTCCTCCTGGCAACCTGGAAAGGGCAGGGCTTTGGAGATTCATACCAGACCCAAGGTCACCCACAAGCCAGCAGGGAGTGGCCCAACCAGCCACGGCACAGTGTGCACACTGAGCGGGCTCACAGCCCTCCCTGCCCAGCCCATTCTAGCAGCTCCCTGGGTCAGCGACTGCTCTCCCATCTCTCTTCAGGAAATGTGGGCCTCTCTGGGCTTCTGTCAGCTCTTTCTGGTTTCTGTCCAGGTGCAGCCTTCTGGTCCTGGACAAGAGCTAACCAAGTCCAGGACACCTTACCACCCCTGCCCGTGCTGTGGCCCCAACCTCTGTGCTCCACCTTGGGGTGGAGAACTGCTTCTCCTGTATCCCAGCCAGGAGTCAGGGGACAGGTACATGGCCCTAACCCCATGACCCTCTCCTCTGTGCTCTGCCCTGCCCTGGGCTGGGCTGGACAGGCCCAGTGTGGCAGCCTCTGCAGGTAGCAGTCTGAGACAGAGGTCTTGAGGGAGGGAGGGAAGGAGAGGGCTGGCAGAGGGAGAGGCTGACCTGCTGTGCTGTCCCACAGGCATGGGCTGCAGAGAGGGGGTGGGCCACTGCTGCTCCCAGGCCTTGGCTCCTGGCTGTGGTGCTGCGGGAAACCCATAGCTTAGAGCAGCAGTCCTGCCTCCTTTGATGGCACGAGCCACAGGGTTACTGGGAGCTGGTGTCCCAGCTGTGCTTCAGCAGCTGTCCTGCCACCACTGCAGGGCAGCGCTCCTGACTGGGCCACTGCCAGGTGCCCAGGGCCCTGTGGCCAGTTCCACTGCCCTCTTCTTGGCCTTCCCTACAGGACAGCTCATCCTTCAAGGCCAAAGAACTCCTGAGTGTGTCCCCCCAAAAGACATGTAGAAACCAGGGACGTACCACAGAGTGGTTCCATTGCCCGCCTGAGCCAACAAATGTCCACTACACAGAGAGCCCAGTGACTCTCTGCCCCTGAGATGTGACATTCTATAGGTCAAAGTCACTCTCCAGAGCAGTCCCCAAGTGAGCAGCTGGGCTCCCTGCAGGAGGGCTGGGCTGTTCTTGCAGGTTCTTCCTCCTGGGACTGCCCAGCTCCACCCAGGGGTCCGCTTCAGGCTGGGGGCCCAGAGATGCTTGGTCCCCAAGCCCCGACTCCTGCCTGTCCTTCACAAGGGCTTGTGCCCTTCGCCTGCCCTCTGCCTCCTCTGCTGATACTTGCATCCAGGCTTCCCCTGGTGAGCCTAGCACTAGGGGCTCTGTGCCTGGGGGTCACTTCCTTCCCAACAGCACCTCGGGGCCCTGAGGTCAGTCAGCGTGGAGCCCTTGCTGCCCACGCCTGCCCTGTCTCACTCTCGGGGGTGGTGCCTTCTGTAGGCTCTAGAAGCTGTCCCAGCAGCAGGTTCACATGGTCCAGGGGCCTTCTGTCCCAAATCCTGGGAGAGCCCTTCTCTAAGCCCTGTAGCCCCTCTGTGTGGGCCCTGGCTTCTCAGCCCGTGCTGGGCTGCTGAGAGCGGGAGGCAAGGAGGAAAGTGCTGGCCCCTAGGATGCACATTTTGGGGAATCTGGGGATTTGATATTTGGGGTTAAATTGACCCAGATGTCCCATTCCCAGAGCTGGGTTCCCCCCTTGGTGGGAGGACTTGGCCCCTCCCAGTGGAGCTGCCTGGGCCTGCTCTGCCCTAGGAACCCCACAGCAGTCCAGCAGGCTAGCCCAGCCTCCTGGGATCTTTGCCCAGAGCTCTGTTGCTTGGCTACAGCCCCCACTCCACTGGCCTGTGTCCTCCACACCCTCTCTCCTGCCCTACATTGCTCCCCAAGTGCTCCCCCAGGAGATCCTAAGGCTGTGCTGCTTTCTCCCCCCTGGGCTCCACTGGACCCTGCGGCCAGGCGGTGGCAGACACTGATGGCCTCACCGAGGGGTCAGCCTGGTCCTGCATCAATGTCTAAGGTTCTGAGCAGGACATCCCAGAGGACTCAGGAGCAGCATCTGTGGGAGGGAAGGGAGGAGGAGGACTTGGCCAAGGTGGTGGTCTGGGGGCCGTCTATCTAGAAGACTTGATGGCTCTCAGGGTCATCAAGGGGCTGAGCCCATCATTGGCTGCCCCAGTAAGGAAGTGACCTCAGGGAGTGCAATTCTTGAAGGGGCTGTACTGGCTGTCTTCCCAAAGCCTTCCCTGTGCTGGGCAGCATCTGTCCACCCCACAGGTCATGTAACATCCAAGCCCGGGCTTATGGACCGGGTGGATTCTGCATTGGTGTCTGTCCCCTCGGGCCCACCTGCCCACCCCACACATTCCCAGCATGATGTGGGTGTTTGGAGGGTAGATGGGCTGTGAAGGTGACTGAGGACAGTGAGGGAGAGCTCCGGAGACACAGGAGCAGGGAGGTAGGCCTCCAGGGGATGGATGAGCCATGGGGTGTGGCCGCAGAGCCTGGAGGACACAGGTGGGCAGCAGGCATGATGTGGGCCAGCCTGGAGCAGTGCCTCCTATAGGACCAGCTATAGGGAGGACCAAGACCACTAAGTGACAGTGTGCAGGGTGGCTGCACATGTGGATCTGGACCCAGGGCAGGCAGGACCAAGCTGCAGCTCTTAGGATCTGAGGGCAGGTTGAGCAGCGCTCTGATTTCATGGGTACAAGGAGATGGAGCAGAATCCATCACTACAGGGGCGGGGGCAGAGTCCCTGTGTACCTGTCAGGTCCAAAGTACCTGTTGAGATTGGCAGTGGAACGCATGCTGTCAGCAAGGGCTGTGCCCTGGGTGTGAGGGCAGGCAGAGGTGCCTTCCCCAGACATGTGCAGAGGGAGGCAAGGCCCGTGGGTGGCCTGGATGTCCCTCTGAGCAGAGGGACACTTTCCTCTGCCAAGTGTGTGCACCAGGAGAGGGACTGGGCATGGTTCGGAGGACACGGAAGTGGCCTGGCTCCTGGAGGTGGGGAAAGAAGGTGTGGGCCCACCAGCATATGGTGACACAGACTGGGACCCTAGGTCAGGCTGTGGGCCGGGCTGTGTCCCTCCGCAGGCTCTCGGGGAGGACCCTTTCTGCCTCCCCTAGCTCCTGGCGGCTCCAGACTCTCACAGTGCGGTCTGTGGTGTCTGTTCTCTTTTAAGGACACCAGGTATTCTGGACTGGGGCCAGCCCTTTTCCAGTGTGATCTCATCTTAAATTACCTCATAGAGATCCTGTTTCCCAATAAGGTCACATTCACAGGTATGTGGCTTAGGATTTTGACATATCTTTCCGGGTGATCAATTCAACCCAGCTTAGAAAGGGACAGGCCCAGGCAGAGGTAGTGGGTATAGTCCTGGGGCCTGGAGCCAGATGACCCAGCCCAGCAGGGGTGAAGGCCCGGCCTGTGTCTGTTGGACCCAGGGACCTTGGAGCAGGGGTAGCTGCAGCAGAGCCATAGCAGAGTTAGGGTCTGGGAGGGCTCCAAGCTCCTCACCCTGGGCCTAGGGCTGTGGTGGACACCAAGGGACAACCCACAGGAGAAAACAGAGCCCTCGGACCCTGGGAGGTGGCCTGGTAGCCAATCCCTGGTCCATGCCTTTACATGCTGGGAAGGACCAAGACCACTAAGTGACAGTGTGCAGGGTGGCTGCACATGTGGATCTGGACCCAGGGCAGGCAGGACCAAGCTTCTTAGCATGCTGGGAAGCTCTTCCACTCTGCCTTGGGGGTCCTGCAGGTAAGGGAGGGCCCTTCCCTATGGTGCCAGCGAATGCTCACACCCCAAGAGAGTGAGCTACCCGGGCCCCTGCTACCAAGATGAGGCTGCCCAGGGCTGCTCCAGTCATGTCTCTGGAGGTAGATCCAGGGCTCACCAGCTTGGGGAGGGTCTGGGATTGACCTTATAACCTTGCCTCCCCTGTCTGCCCAGATGCTCATCTCTGACTGTGTCTTTCTGTGACCACAGGACACGTGTGACCTCAACTGGGTTCTGCAAGACCAGCTGTTTGCAATGAATGGCCAGGTCACTCCTCCTCTTGATACCCTGTTCACCAACGGTGCTGAGCAGGCCTTCATCCCCAAAAACATGAAGGCTGGGCCGGGAGCCAGTGCCCCCTCCAAGCCCCAGGCAGAGGCAGCCGCACCCTCCAGAGCCAGGAGCATTGCAGGGGTGCGTGTGGAGGCCTCAGGGCAGACGCTGAGTGTCTATGCTGCCATGAAGCGGAGCCTGCTGCCCGCAGGGCTGGGGTTGGCTCTGCTGGAGGCCCAAGCAGCCACTGGGGGCCTGGTGGACCCCGCCCAGGGCCAGCTGCTGTCCGTGTCTGAGGCCCTGCGGCAGGGCCTGGTAGGGCTGGAGCTGAAGGAAAAGCTGCTGGCTGCCGAGCGCGCGGTCACTGGCTATCCTGACCCCTATGGGGGCGAGAAGCTGGCCCTCTTCCAGGCCATCAGGAAGGAAGTTGTCAACAGAACTCTGGGAAGCCGCTGGCTGGAGGCCCAGCTGGCCACTGGAGGCCTGGTGGACCCCGTCCAGGGCATGCGAGTTGCCCCAGCACTAGCCTGCCAGAAGGGCCTCCTGGACCAGGAGACGTGGCTCAGTCTGGATGGGCAGGAGCCCAGCATGGACACCCCGGGTTTCCTTGACCCCAACACACTGGAGCCGCTGCCGTACTCCGCCCTTCTGGGCCGGTGTGTGGAGGACCCTGGCTCAGGGCTGGCCCTGCTGCCACTCAAGACCACCTTCCATACCCTGTGTGGGGCGGCCAGTGTGGCTGAGCTGCTGGAGGCAGGGGTCCTGGACGAAGAGACAGTCCAAGGCCTGCAGGAGGGCACTCTGACAGAGCCGGGCGTGAGTGCTCGCCCTGAGGTGAGGCGCCACCTGGAGGGCACTGGCGGTGTGGCAGGGGTCGTCCTGCTGCCTGAAGGCCACAAGAAGGGCTTCTTCCAGGCTGCAGCCGAGCACCTGGTCCCCATGGGTGCTGTACTCCCGCTCCTGGAAGCTCAGGCTGCCACCCACACCCTGGTGGACCCAGTGACAGGCCGGCAGCTGTATGTGGACGAGGCGGTCAGGGTCGGCCTGGTGGGCCCAGAACTTTATGAGCAGCTGCTGGTGGCAGAGCAGGCGATGACTGGGTACCATGACCCCTTTAGCAGCTCCCGCATCCCCCTCTTCCAGGCCATGAAGAAGGACTTGGTGGACAGGTCGCTGGCCCTGCGCCTCCTAGATGCCCAGCTGGCCACGGGTGGACTGGTCTGCCCTACCCGTAGGTTCCGGCTACCTCTGGAGGCTGCCCTGCGTCTTGGCCTCCTGGATGAAGAGACTTGGCAGCACCTCTCCCAGGCCACGGGCTTCTCAGACCCCAGCACACACAGCAACCTGTCTTACGGGCAGCTGCTGGCCCTCTGTGTCACTGACCCAGAGACGGGGCTTGCCTTCCTACCTCTCCCTGGGGGACCCCGTAGAGAGGTGCCCCAGGGACCCCCATTCATTGGCCACCACACTCGGGAGGCCTTGAGTGCAGCCCTGACCTCCGTCTCTGTGGGGAAGTTCCAGGGCCGGCCCGTGTCCCTCTGGGAGCTGCTGTTCTCTGAGGCCGTCTCTGTGGAACAGAGGTCAAGGCTGGCCCAGCAGCACCAGGAAGGGACCCTCTCAGCAGAAGAGCTGGCAGCAGAGCTGAAGGCCATCATTGAGCAGGCTGAAGCCACAGCCAGGGTCACCTTTATTGGACTGAGGGACACTGTGACTCCGGGAGAGTTGCTGAAGGCGGAGATCATTGACCAGAAGCTCTATGAGCAGCTAGAACACGGGCAGACCTCAGCCCACGACGTGGGCAGCTTGGACTCTGTGCGGAGGTACCTGCAGGGCACGGGCTGCATCGCTGGCCTGCTTCTGCCCGGTTCCCAGGAGCGCCTCAGCATCTACGAGGCCCGCAGGAAGGGACTTCTCCGGCCCGGCACTGCACTCATCCTCCTGGAGGCCCAGGCTGCCACCGGCTTCATCATCGACCCCAAAGAAAACAGAAGGCACTCGGTGGAAGAGGCACTGAGAGCTGGTGTCATTGGGCCTGATGTGTACCTGAAGCTGCTGTCCGCCGAGCGCGCCGTCACCGGCTACACCGACCCCTACTCCGGGGAGCAGATCTCGCTCTTCCAGGCC